GTTAAAGAATTCAGTTCTGGATCCGTATCCAAGACATGTCTGGATTGATCAAGTTCAAACTTCACACACACATGGTACATCATGTCACAAATAGATATGTGCATTTGTTTCATGATCTGCTTAACAATAGCGGAATGATGGCCATTTTAAGGCCGAAAATGCATCAAAATCACATATTTTCACAATTGCAGAACCGGATCTCAGTCATGCATGGATGGATTTTGTTCAGATTTAGCACAATGTGTTGTACATATGCAGGTGCATTTCGGTCATGATCTGCTTTGAATGTATATGTCACTCAAATATGAACGGAACGGGGACGTGTCATTGACAATGACTTGTTATGATTTAATTCTTGGGTCAGCAAATAGAGGTTGATTTTTTTTCATTTTTAAAAATCAACTTCAAATGCTTTAGTCATGTGACCTACAAAATGAGTTCTCACATAAATATTTTGATGTCATTTGGATTTTTGTTTTTTCAAATCACATTTATTCACTGATAGTACTAGTACCTAATTCTTTGTAACATATTTTGAAACTGTCACTCAGAATTTGTCTTTTCTATAATGAACATACACATTTATTATTTATATAGTGGACATACACAATTATTCTAATTTTTTGGTACTGTATTCATTTTGCAAGTCACATGGATTTTTTGTGTGGACTCACACTTGCACACTTGAAGACGATCATGTTTCTTTTCAAATTTTTCTGAGCATATGTCCTCCTACTAATATAATTTTGAGATGTTTGGAAACTAATTCTAACCGCTGTGCATACCGAAGATACGCCACACAGACATTAGAATCCAGCATATACATCTGTAACTTAATTACAAGCCATGTTATTTTCTCTTTCTAAAATTCAGATGATCCATGGAATAAGAACAAGGACAAAAAGTTGGAAAATTTCCGGTGGTCCTATGGAGTAGGTTTGGTTGTAAGGTTTGGAAGGATAGCTAGAATGGAATTAAACTATTGTGTACCTATGAGGGCAGCAAACTCTGACAAGTAAGTACATTAATATGTATGTACCTGTGAGGGCAGCAAACTGATTAGTGATTACACATACCCGGTATATGTAGAGATGGGTTATGCGTGGCTACATAATAAAGGGGGTGACTGAGGAGAGTGACACTAACAATTTGTAACTGTTTTTTATATTTATCTCTACAGGATCAGTGAAGGTTTTCAATTTGGTATTGGGGTCAACTTTTTGTAAAATACCTAATTTATTGAAAGACGTGGACCACTCGGAAAGGTGTAACTTTTATCAACAGCATGACTATCAGAAAGCAAGCTGAAACCGGTACTGGGCTGATCTGTATTTTAGGTTAGCACAACAGACAAGTTTCGAATTCTTCCTTTTAGCTTTAGAAACTTGTACACTCTGATGTAAAAATGTTCTAATTTTATTTGTGTAGGGGGGGGGGGCATTGATTTCACTGCGTAAACATTCAGTACCGGAACAACAGGGATAAATTGCGCGATCTAGAACATGCCGAGGGTGCTATAACTCGAAACTTGTCTGTTTAATACTAATGTTTCTGTTTAAAACAGCATAGTCTGATCACGTTTGAAATTGACCAGGAATACTAAACTAACTGAAATTAGTGATGTACCGAGTGATATTTTCAAAACAGAATTTTAATTATGTAAATGAGTGTTTTTGGTCACTGAAACCTCAAATGTTTTCAATTGATTTAGGCTACCCGATGATGCAATGGTGTTTGTAGTACTTGTATTTTACAACACAACTAAAAACTATGCAACTAGTATTCATGACTCGTGTCTGTCTGTAGAAATAATAATGAAATAAACGCCTAGTTTCACTTCTATCGGTAATACACATAATCAAACAGTAATTTTGACTCCATTGCGAGGTAGAATCTTATGTGAAGAAACTGAAATATTTGTCTTTTCAAATATATCAAGTGTTTGTAAATCTTATTTCAAAAAAATGGATTTTGAATTTTCGAAATATCCACTCTTGTATGTAAAACACAGATATTTCATGTTGAGAACCAAACACGTTTGTCTAAAAGGTGTGCTTTTCATCTCCCTTTGAATGATTGATATCTAAAAATATTGGATTTTCAGTAAATGTACTACTTGTCTGAAAATTAATTAAGTCAATCTGTTCAGGATTTTGTGGAAAAAAAGAACATAACGATTTTAAGAATTTGTATCTTCAGTTTGAACAACCATCAAAAACAAGATTATCTAATGTCAAAAAACATTCGAAGACCTATTAATAACTTTAACTATGACCCCCCATTTGGAGAGTAAAAAATTGAAACTGTTTCTTAGCAACCAAATTTTTTTAAAATTTCATCCAGGTTGTAAATCAGCATATTCAACCCAACCAATCAGGGTCCACGTTATAAGCTTGTCAGTGTTGGACTCTGGTTGGTTGACAAAATATTGTTCTATGCAGATATAGCCAATCATGATCATATTCAATACTGCTTAGTTGCATTTCACCAGGTGAAATTTTTTTAGGGATCAGTGATGCTATCCTATAATAGTCTTCAATTTATGTAATGTCCAAGTGGTGCATTAAATTGTAATTGATTGGTTGTTCCATAGCAATGTATTTCATAATGAATTACTGCAAGACCTGGAGGATTGTTTTATAATGTCAAGCAATAAATAGCTTGTTATTGTACTACTGACTGCAATGCTTTATCATTCTTACGTATACAAATTGTAATTATACAGTTGTGATCATCAAGTAAACAAAGCCACATAAAGAAAAAATAATAAAGTGGTGATGCCCTTACATTATTCAGAAATGCTCTAGTTCTCATACAAAACAAGATACACATCACAGATGCACAAAGAAGAGTGAATTTTTACTCCTTACATACTTCAAATACAAACATAGTTGTAGACAGAAACATTGTAAAGTTCTTAAAGTATTAGGAAATATTACCTATTTCAATCCTTTCTCGGTCTGTGATAATAAATTCAGTATGAAAGCTATATATTTATATTACTCTTAATTATCTCCCTAAAGTTTTCAACCAAGAATACTATTAACCAACCAGTACACTATTTACAATTTTGCCAAATGAGAGCTTCAATTGCAACTGCTAAGGGAGCTACCCAACAAAAACGTAGAACCGTGGATCTGGGAGACAACAAGCTTCCAGTAAAGTAACAAGTTGATGAATGCAAAATGAGAAGAAAAGAATATTAAAAAATAATATCAACTTAAAGATGGTCATTACACATACTCAAATGCCATGATATTTCATCATGTTGAAACTTGCAACAAATATTTACACAGTAAAAAAATCTTCAAATAAACAATGTAAATGTACATTTTTAAAAAAATCATTGAAGTTTTGTACTCTTTTGAAATATTATTTGTACTGTGGATGTTTTCATATTCATCCCTCGATCAACTGTCGCACTGTCTATATAAACACATACCATAGTGTACATTATGAGAATTAACTACTGTAGTTGTGAAACAACGAACTAGTGTTTGCATTTTACACTAATATGTTATAAGATAGGGTTTCACTTAATTAACTTGTGTCTTAAAAACTGGCAGTATTATATAAAGTGATTTGTTTATACACATTAAATGGGATTTATGACACAAACAGGGCTGCATAGCTGCTAAGTTGCAGTACAGCCATAACACCATAATTCAGCATGCAAATAGCATAGGCAGTAGTGGCTGCAGCTATTAAGGTTAGTAGCAGTAAGACTGCACATGAGGTGCTAATATACATTTGATAAACAATTCAATTTTAAAGTCCCTTAAAATATTGCAATGTTAAAATTGTAAAATATTTCTCAAGATGAATAACATATTACAATAACAATTATTTTGCAACTTGAGAAAAATGAAATTTTTTTTTTAGATGATTCTCATGAAATGATTATCAATTATTGAAATTTAATGTGCATTCAAATTTTGTGTAAATAAACATACTTTAGTACTCAACTAAACAATAGGATATTCAAATAATGAATATTGATCAGCTCATAAATAATAATGAGCAAATGATACTTGCACAACTCTGATTTTCACAGAATCCTAATAGTAATGAGTGAAATGGGCATAACAGTGGAATTTGCTATATTAATGCTATATTATGTAAACCCAACACATTCAAGAGATTGTTTTTTTATTATGTGCAGACCATGCATTATTTACAAATTTATTCAAGGTATCCAAATAATCATCTGGGTATTTGTACATGTGGCTCACATGATGAGAACCTTCAAAACATTTCAATGTAATAGAGTTGTCATGGTTAGCTCGCCACTTCCTAGCAATTTTTTCATTTAATTTGGGTGTACTGACAGGGTCGTTATCAGAATAGATGAGCAGAGCCGGGGCACTGACTGGGATGTTGTGAAAATTTGTTGATGCCTTGGCATAGTATTTGACAGACATTTTCCATGCAACCTTCATGTAACCTTCGATTAGCTTCTGGAAACTCAACTGCATCATTGGGTGTTTTGCCACAGCTTTGGACAATCCCTCAGGAATATCCTCCATATCCACTCCACTGTCGTAAATCTGTCCCATAACACGCTGATAAAACTGGTGCAGCTGCGTCTCACTCTCTGCCAGTTGCTGCATTTTCAGTAGCATCTCGCTATACAGGTAAGCGCCAACTGAAAAAGCATGAATCATTAATGGCTGGTTCTGTCTGTCCTCGTGCTGCACAAAATTGACAACGTTCTCGGCCACAATGTGGGAGCCTTTGCTTGGAAGCAGAAGCTGTGATGGCTTGATCTTAACTGTCAGAACATCCCAACCTTTTGTTAAATAGTAATCCCCAAACTTTTCCAGATGCCTTTGTTTTGCTTGCATCCAACTAAACAGCAGGACAAGAGGTTTAGACGTAAACTCCTCTCCATCCTTTGCATTGCTGCTCTCTTCATCATGTTGAACGTCTCTGGTTCTAAATTCCAGGTTTTCATTGATCTTTCTAGCTGTCACATTAGCTGGTGTCAGAATAGAAAAAGCTCTTGCCAATTGTCCAATGTTTTCATGCTGTAGAGCAAACAAAAGTGAGAACATGAATAAGACAGCAGCCACATATGCAATTGTTTTTACTGATTAGTCATCAATTATAAGAAAATTTTAGGGAAAACATTTATTTTTTGCAGGCAAATAGTAAAAAACATCCATGTGAATATATTTTGAATCCTATAGTATTGAAACATGGCACTGTACATATATATAATGTACCATGTACACATTGCGATTCTCACCAATAAATATGATATTTGTGAGAATAAATAATAGCTGAAATACAAAAAACAAATGTCAGATTCTCTAGTCTTGCACTTTTTACCAATAATAAGGAAGACCATATTTTCTCTATTAGAAGACCAGTATACACTACTGGTACTAACTGGATTTATTCTTTATGGTACCCATTTGAAATCGAGGGAAGCTAGAGAAAATCCGGAACCATCTAAATATCAGCAAATGTCTTATTGTCAATATCAGTACTTTGCACACGTATGTACATGTATTCCTTTCAGGGTTCAAAATTTTTGGCTGTCCAGTTGCCAAGGCAACCCTTTTTGCCAGGTGATAACCAAATCTTGAAACTGTTGAATGGGACGCTAATTACTTCCTGATATATGTAGATATACTAGTAGACCAGTAATTTGTAATATTTGTTTAGATTAAAATTATTGGACAACTACATTTTTATGTGAACAAGACCAGACTAGAAATGCTTCACAAAGTGCTAATGTAGAAGACACATTTGGCATTGAGAGTAACTAAAACACTTTTCTTCCAAAATGCTTCATTTGGAATAAGAACACCTAAAATACCTTTCTTGAAAATGTGAAGTACTGCAAAAAACAAACACACATGCAATGTTTCAAACTAAAACACCAGACTATAATATCAGTATTTATGTACTGGACACTTTTTTAAATGCAGTCAAAAGTACACAGCCATAAAAACAACAAACAAAACAACCCATATTTAAACTGTATACAGTTTATTAGAAAAATAAACACACATCAATATTGTCAGAATATATGTGTGACTCATGTAATTCAAAAAGTGAAAAGATGAATAAAACATAATGAGTTGAAATAATACACCCATAATATTAAATTATTAAAAAATTGGGTTAAGGATGTAGTAGAGGTTATTGCTATTGCAATTGCATAGCACATTTCTGAAGTAACATATTCTTTGAATCCCATCAAGTTATATATGTTTGGAAAGGTTACTTTTCAAATAATATGAAATAAATATTCCAACAAAAAAATGGTACCGTGTAATCACGTGATCACTGTGCAAATATTTTCGAAGAAACTGAAATATAGCCACAGAAATTATGTTCGCTATACTTATAAAAGGTTTGGATGTAATTTCCCAGTTCGTCTACTGTTGTGTGACCTAGATTTTGACCTCATAAAACTTTTTAAAAACATTGTCACCGTTGTAAAGTCAAAGTGATAGACAAACTATCTTTGCCAGATTTCATTAGCAGCTATTGGAGAATACCTATGCCAAAAATAACCATCGTGGAGCAGCTGGGAGTCGAGATCAACTCTCTAGACTAACCCCAAATACCGATGTTTTCTTATGCATGAAAAATCACAAAAAACATAAAACACACCAAATCTCAGATTTACTCAAAATGTATTACCCTCTTAAACTATCGCTACAATTGTTTTTTTCTAGTTGAATGCATGCTTTATATATTTTTATAAGAGAATATGGAAAAAAGTAAATTTTCAAAGAAAAAAACCTACACTACATCCTTAAAGTGCCTGTGAAATGGCTGCTTTTTTCACGCCTAAAATTATCCATTGATACATAAATATTATTATTTTTTTATGTTTCTAAGCATGAATTATTTTTTTAAGTGAACAAATGTGTTTTAAACTCAATCTACGGCAACTTTATTTTTGTGTATTTTAAAACGAGGCTCCTCATTAGCTTCTTATTTACATACAGAAATTCCCCTTGTGACGTCAGAAGAGGAAGTCGCATGGCAGCTTGCATTGCCGATACGTGTAAATAAGGCAAATTTCTTCTGCAGTTTTCTCGTCTTTGACTAAATTTTCACTTATGTACTTGTTCATTGAGGAGGAATGGACCATAATGAACACATAGTATCAATTTTGTTACATGGGGTTGAGTTAGATGCGAAATATGTTCGTTCTGGTGTAGCTGGTCAACGTGATCGTCAGCGGCGCACGTTTGTACACTGTCGCTGGACAAAATAGAATTTGACGTCGGAATTATCTCGTTATTTAGCAGGTTACTAGGCATGTCACTACACTGTTTTATTTCATCGATCGTCTGA